ATGGCCTTCTAAAAATCATTAAACTATTCTAAATTGGTGATGATAAAACAAAGCAGAACTGTTTTAACTTTTTCCAAAGCAAAGACAAAATCCATTTCCCTTGTAAATACTTCTTTGTTCCAAATTTGCCTAGTAACCTGTATCTCATAAGACATATCTCCCCCATGGGCTGCCTAAATCCCATTCTCCCACAATCACCTAGCTTGAACTCAGTGCCTTTTAAACCCAGGTTGGTAAAGGTTTGTCTTCACTGCATCAACGCAGGTTGTAGCTCCTGAGTTCTGCCCACCTCTCCTCTAGTCACAGGCTCGAAGAAACTGGTGCATGGGGCATAGCTGAAACACAGGCGTCAGCTCCAATTTCCTTTCAGCCTCAGCTAGAGACTGGGCTGGTTTGCAATGGGAGTAGCTTGCACAGCTTCATTCTCCCAGGGCTACCCTAAAATTTCAGCTGGACTGCACTTTCTTCGTTTGCTTATTCCTTCTGCTGTACTGCATTTTAAATCCTCCTTCGCTTGCTCTAGATATGTAACACTTCTGCAGTGCAAGGACTGAGATGCTATTTAAGAATACTTCTTAAAACCTTTTCAAAGGTATCAGCCCAGGTTTGGACACAGAGCACCCAAACACAGTGCAAGACAGATGAATCATGAAACAAAACAAAACATCTCCTAACAAGAAAGTTAAAGATCCTGGAGATCATGCATAGATGGTAGAGAAGAACCTTACATTATACTTAACCTCTCCTACAAACAGACCGAGGACTCCAATAGGAAAACCAAAAGCAACACAGGAATATAACGGATTGATTGCCTGGCTTGGTAGCCAAATACAGCAGAAAATGCTAGTCTCGGCTCAATGATTTGCTCTGTCCTGGTTCTCATCTACATCATGGGTGACTTCTATTACCACCACCACCACATGTAGTCAAGAGACAACACCTGGTGAAGACCAGGTTACCAAGAGCAGCACAGGGAAGATGTATTTCTGATGAATGAAATGCACATGGCCAGATGGTGCCTATTTCACCACAGCTGTATGCCACAAAAGGTAAGTGAAAAACCAACTTAAGGTTAAAAGATGGTGCTGTTTGTATAAAATCTCTTTTTTTTGCCCTCCTATTGTGCTTCCATTTTGGTGGAGTAGGTGTAAAAGGAAGGGAAATGTTACTTCTTTCTGGGTTTATTATTTCTATGTTGTCAAGTTACTGCAGTGATCATTGTTCACTTTACCAAGATTGCTAAACGGTGGTATTTTCTACTGCTCGAGTCAATAGGTTGGTGGGTTACAGGTTCACAAACTGTAAGGAGACACATGAATTTAAAAAAAAAAAAAAAGCCTTTTAAAAAAACTAAAATCCTAGGATAAACACATATTGTTTAATCATTAAACTCATCAAATTATGAAATAAAATGAAACCTTGGAGTAAAAATGGACTCAAATGCTGTGATCATGTCATCTGCTGAAGTAATCCACCAAGCCAGCATCATACACATAACATCATTATGACAATTCCCATTTGAAGCAGGGATGTCGGCATTTTGCTCATCTCCTTGTGGTCTTGGAGCCAAACTCAGAATCACAGGGGTTCCTTCTGGTCCCCGCTCTTTGCCAGTAATTCATCGCTGGCACCAAGCGACTCCTGAGAAAATCTCCGCACCTTTTCCTCACCTACAGCAGTAACACACAGGACACCATGGGAACATGAAGGCGATGAGGTGCACCGGCACCCAAGTGGGATTTGACCCAGCACCAGCCTGCCGTCCCTCCAAGCACACAACCTTGCCTCCACGCAACGACTGCCCAGGGTGCAATTAGACTCTCCTCTACTGGCTGCTCTCTCATCAGGCGAACACTGCAAGAGCCAGGACGGTGGTGAGGACCGGCTAGGTGTCCCACGTAGCACTGCATGCATGGCCAAACAACATCCACATTCCTACACCAAGGGTCCTTTCTGTGAATCCCACCTTGGAGGTCATGAACCACAAGAGACAGCTAATCAAGGCACAACTACTGAGAAAACACCTTTTCTGGCTGACATACTCACGTGCCCTGCAGGAAAGCATTCAACTTCCCTACAAGAAGTAGGCACGTATCCTTGGAACCCACAATTAATTTAATCTTGATTTCAATAAAGTTTTGCAGTAATTACCTTGTAAACACCCATCACCATTAACGCGGAGGACCCGCCAAGACCAGGCTGCTTAGCTATTGCATGTGGCAGCCTACCACACTGCAAACAGCAACCTGAGGAGCAACCCCCCTCGCTCCATCACGCATTGTACTGCTTGGCCCCAAAAGGGCTAAGCGAGATCGTCACACAGCACCATGAGGGAATTTTTCTGTTGCCACTGGAAAGGGCTGGAAGCTGATGCTAGATAAGTTCAGATTAAAAATTAGGTGCATGCTTTCACAACAAGAATGGGTAACTACTAGCATAGCTGTGGAAGGTTTTTCACCACAATCGGTTTTAAAATCAAGAAGATGTTTATCTGAAATATGGGCTCAGACTTAAACAGGAGACAATTCAAAGTGGTCCCATAGCCCTTCTCAGACAAAAGATCAGATGATACTATCACAGCTCCTCCAAATCCTCATTAGCGAGGCATGGCAACTCAGTGCTCTCTGGTCTGATCGCTCCATGCTCACCACCCTGGTCAAGGGCCACTGGTGCTCCAGACTCTGTTGGTTTCACTCCTCCACAATTGACACAGCCTTCAGAATCCCCTAACCATGGATGAAACTTTCTTTTCATAACCCTTAAACCATGTCTCACTTTCGCCCTTGCAGCAAACCTAGAGCAAATAGCAGATACCAAGCAGGAACAGCAAAAAACCCAGCTGTCTTCCTACAGGTTTTGGAAATGCTTGCCTAGTCTTGTCTGGTGTTCAGCATCCTAAGTGATGAAGCTTTGGCCACTACCTTCAGAAGACTCAAAATGCCGTCTTAGTTTGCAAATTTTCAAAGTAGAAATCACATCTCCCTGTATACGCATATGCTGCGATGGAGGTGCAACTCTAGGGACTTTGGGCACTATAACAACACAAAAAGACATCGCAATTTCAAATTCATACTACTTGGATCACACTTTAGTTCCCACTCTATGCTTCCCAGTTATGATATTCATCTTCCCAAACAGCTCCACGTGCTGTTTTCGGTAATCACATCCTTCAAACACTTGTCCCTGTTATATCTACCAACATCTACATATTCAAAACAGTCTCTGAAGCACATGCTAAACATCTGTTTCAACCACCTTTCTCTTTAGAATTTAAGCTGTTTGCTGGAAAATTGCCATCCTAATGGCTAGCTCCTCTGTTAGTGAACTGGAGAATTCATTTTGTATTTATTGATTGTTCCCTAATGAAGAGTCATAAAGGTGCCAGAGACTCTTGACCAGACACTACTTAATTAGTAACAAAGCACATAAAATCCCAAATCAAACCCAGCTCTTTGTCCAACGGCTCAGTCACTGGAAAAGAAAAAGATGACATCATTTTCTGCTTACACAGAAGTCCGTAAAATTTTATTAAAAAACCCCTAAAGAAATTTAAAAAGTATATAAATTGTTAATTTCCTTCCAGTTCCTAAGACACCAAATAGGTCTTCCAGAATCAAATCACACATTGCTAAAGGAAGTATTCTTCATAAAGGACCCAGCAATATGCATCATGCATAGAATTTATTTTGAACTAGACAAAGGCAAATACCAATAAAACATTTATCTTCTGAACAATATAAAGATTTATGTTACATACAAAGACATAATGCAAAGCATCCAGAAGGTATTAAAAATTACTTCTAATGGATCTGTCTTTTCATCATCGTGGCTCATACAATAGTCCAACTTTTATGTTCTCTCAAACTACGCTGTACTGGAGTATTTTCTGAGGGTATTGCTCTCAAGGAGGCAGAGAGATGAGCAAGAACTCCATTAAATGTCAAGGTTTTTTTGTCTCAAACTTAAAGCCTCAAAAACATCCTGAATAACTGACATCTCCTTTCAAGTCTTTCAAATTAAGTCATCCTGAAAGTTAATTCCCTCTCTTCCATATCATTTAAATTCTCAATTAAATAATTGAGAAAATAGCAGGAAGGAAAAAAGCCAAGTAACAGAAGGAGGCAAAAGCCCATCCCTACATGGCAATAGCATTGCTGCTTCTATTACACTCTCCGCTTGTTGAAGGCATCTGTCTTCAGAGCAGTAAGGTGGCTTGAATTCTTTGGGATAACGTTAAGATGCACACAAGGAAATAAAGATTCACGGTAACACAAAATCCATTAAATACAGATACCCTCATAGTAATCTACAGTCCCTAATGTAATTATTACCACATATGTAAGAAAATACCCTTAATATGTCCAAAAATGTAGTCTTCCATTTTCCTAAAATCTACCACTCCATTGCCAAACACTTGTTCTGCAAAAAATTCAAAATCCTATTCATGATCTCTGTCCTGTATTCAGCAGTCAACGTGATACCAGCTTTAACCATCCAAAGCTTCTAGCCCTCTTATCATAATGATAAATAAGTGTATTCCACCAGAAAGAGAGCAGGTTTGCACAGAAAATGGAGCAGGACAAGCATATAAAGGACAAAACAACCACAGTAAGGCACATATCCCAAGAAGGCAGAATAGCGAAGATATATATGAGCTTCTCAGACATATGAATTTGGCTTTTTTTACCGTAATCCGTTATTCTTTCCTGTTTGTTTAAACTGCACCTTTTTTTATAATCGTAAAATTACACCAACAGCATCTCAGCTAGCCCAGATAATTTCAGTAAGTCTTCTGCAGAGTTTTGTTTTCTGCTCCCAGCAGATGAGTCTAGATGGTCACCGGTACGTCTCCCAAGAAAACGAGCTCCAAAATGGTAGAAATGAAGAAAGACGTAGAAAAGAAAATGACAATACAACGGGAGGGACAGCTAACCACAGAGAAGCTCGGGAAGGGTCACCAGTGCACTGCAGAGTGAGGCCGCACAGAAACCTCTGCTTACCCCTTGCTCGGATTCCAGCAGCTCTGTTTTGACTCTGACTGCCGGCATCCCATCAAGCATTAACATTCTGTTCTCAAAGGCGCTGATGTCCTAAGGCAAAAAAGGACAAGGTTAATCAAAAGTGATGAAAAACACTTGGTTTAATTCACTGGTTTAGTCTACGATATTGTAAAAGTAAGTTTCTTTTAGCGGAAATAAAGTTAACGAAGATGTAATGTTAATTTCAAAGAGTAGCTACCAAGTTACTACTTCTGTTAAAATAGTAAATTATACTTTCAGTTATCCTTAAAAGAGAACTAAGTCTTTGTAAGCAACAAGGGAAAATCATCTCCAATTACTATTTTTTAATTTGAAATTAATCACGCAGGTGCACGTATATAAATTCCTTGCTTTAGAACTGGAAAGGAGAGCAGTGATGTCAAACAGCTTCAGGTTTTTGGCAGTATACTTAGGTATGTTTCATTTCAATCAAAACATTTGTACTTCTTTATTACCTAGAGAAAGCATATGCTTGAATTCAGAGACCTTACAGCGAAGGCCTGTACACACACATACCATAAATTAACACACATCAGCAACTCCTCAGATTTCATATCGTTCATTATCTTGTAAAGTTACCAGCATTTGTCAATGAAAATCTCCATGCACTCACCTCTGACACAAAAGAAATAAAAAAGCATGTTAAGAACATGCATTGCCCTTGCAGTAATGGGCAATATACACCGAGAGCTTCAATCTGAAGTGAGATTTGCAGAACTTGTGCTTCCCTGAATCAACATCCCTGCTCTGAATGTTTCATCCTGCTGTTGCTGGAGCAGTTTATGTAGACATGCAAAACAACCTCTTGTGCCTTCAATTCAAACACTACTTCAACCTGAGCCAATTTTCTATTCCAGCCAAGGCTCAAGGCTGGTGTATGAAAGCTAGCCCCTTCAGCTGCCATTTAGTTTGGACAACATGGAGAGAATAAAAGACATTTTATCCCTCGAGCTAGAATCTGACCTTATGAATCCAGACACCTTGGTCAGCGGTACGGAAATACAGAGACGTCACAGCTGTTTTTTCAAATAGTGAAACTACAGCACGTATCGCTTATAAGCGACTAATTCACAGCCACTCACTTATCTGCAGCCCCATCTGGAAGGCAGCGCTCAACTCCGGAAACTCACCTCTGCTCTGTTACCTTGCAGTCCTCAATAACTGCACTGTAATGGAAAAAATGCTTTCCCTGTGTTTTACGGGCAGCAGATCTGTTCAGTACTGCGTGGTGCCATTATTCATAAGGAATACGTTCATAGCCCTGTTTCTTCTCATGGCTGCTTCAGGGGGATTTTAAGAAAAATGGTCTGTCCTAATGGAGCTTCCAAAATACATTTTAAAAACTTAAATTACTTTAAGCATTTTATTTTTTCCAGTTAATGCACCTCGTCACAGGATGTTCATTTTCGGGGATATAAATATTGCAGCAACTGTTTACTTTTGTATACTCCTTAACTTTATTGTAATTTAAATAACATGCTGAAAAGCAGAGAAACTGATACGCCCATGCTCCAACACGGTGCCACAGGCAGAGAAAATGACCTGCTTAAAATCCCTGTCACCCTCACTTTGCACCCCATGTGTTACAGCACACAGAGCTGCGGTTTGATACTACAGGGCAGGCAGGAACTTGATGGTAAAGCAGATAAGCAAATGCAACAGCAAATGCATTCTCTATTTTTTTCCTTAAAAAGTAGATTTAGATAGTTCATAAAAAGCTCTAAACTCTTATATTATAAAATTTCAGCTCAAACAACTAATTTTCAGCAGAACGCCTCTGCATTCAAACGTGTGACTGAAGACGAGTGAAGCTGTTGAGATGGTCTGGTCCATGCTATGCTACACTGTGTCTCTACTGTGTTTTAAGCTTGAAACAACAGGAAGAAGAAAAAAATGCTCTTATATGTCTCCTCAGCAATTTATTTTGTGCACCTTGATCTTTATTCAGCATTCGAGGCATGAGGTGGGGAAAGAGCAGGAGGGACTCTGATGCCACAAAACAGCTGTCTGAAATTGTTCCAGGTTTTACATCCCTCTTCCCAGAAAGGGAGGTGCACTGTTTACTTATCAGAAGCGGATCTCGGGTGTCACTGAGTTCCAGTGGTTTGGATGTGGTTTTGGGGTGGAGCAAGAGCAGGAGCCAGCCTGGCATTCCTGGCTCCCCCAGTGCCTATTTTGCAAGCAGAGAGGTCCCTCTCTCTCCTTGATTTATACGCAGCACAGTTGAGTTTTACAGCAAGATCAGGAATATACCATCATCAAGCATCCCTTAGGCTGTTTAGCTCATAGACAAAGAAGGATGAGCTGATATTGCTTCGTGTCCCTGAGGAGGTCTTACCCGCCTGAACGAAGGGACGAGGCTGGCTTGCGCAGGAGGCACAGGCAGGAGGAGGGGGGGAAGACAAAGCGCCACTGAGGAAAGGCAGGTTTAATGGACTGTTAGAATCTGATTAGAGGCTAATGTCCCTTTTAGTGCTTTGTACCAATTTACAGCTGATATACTTGAACCATTTTTCCCCACTGGCTGTGATAAACTCATTAGTTTTAAAAATGCAAGCTAACCAGAGCCTTTGAAGTTTAAAACTGATAAATCACGAAAACCTGACTAGTTCATGTACCATTTAACACATTTACATTTAACTAAATTTTCATAGCGCTCGCTTCCCCTTTTGTTCTCTAAAATCATATTTGTTAAAAGCAGCGCTCTGCCTTTTGAGCGCTGGTCTGAAGAGTGAATGCAGCGAACAGCTCCGGCTTTTGGGTCATTTATAATTCAGAGTGGCAATAATCACAGAAGTAGATTCTTTCCAAACTATTTGATCCCTTCTGCATTTATAACTGGAAGGACATTGTGTGACACATCCTTGGGGGGGGGCCACTGCCTGGTAGTAGCCGAGTAGATCCAGCCTGCATGCTATACATATGGATGACATGTTTAGCCCAATAGTCACCCAGAGAGCTGATCTCTCCAAACTGTGCTCCCCTGCCATAACCAGTGTTTGCGCTGCAGTATGTTCAAAGCCATTCAGCAAATAGGATGTAATTGCCGAGGTTTGCATACAGTGGGCAGTCATCTAAGACAAAGGGGCTTGACTCATCCCCACAGGGGCTGGGGGTGTGAACTGAGCTCCCCCGGGAGCCTCTCCGGTCAGCCAGGCAGATGAAGCATCCACACCTGAGTGAGGCCAAGCTGCTCCAGCGCCCCACGTTAATTGATGACACTCGGGAGACTCACCAGCAGAGACTGCCGATACGATGTATTGAGTCAACGCATTTTTCAGGCCGCATTCCCCTCCTGGCTCACTCAACTCTCTTCATCGACTGTGGCAGCTAACTTCCAGCTCCCAACATTGCCCAGGTGAAGGTGACCTGAATTCGTGCAACAGCCCTTCCTTCTCCGTTCTCCTACCTCCCACCCCAACCCACCTGGGTGGACTCCAGTCACCCACCTAGGTAAAAACACATAGCAGATGTATGTCCTAAACTGGGCATATAATCAAGCCAAACACTGCATGACCTTACCAAAACATCTGTTCTCTTGGATCAATTAACTAACTCATCCTAAACGAGATCAACCTCTCTTTCTCGGTGCCATGCGTTGGAGCCTTTCGCTAATCACTTTTGGACATTTATTCCCTTGAAAGATTAATTAAAAACACAAATCATACCCAGGTCCATATGGGCAACTGCTGTTAGAGCAATTGTTACAGAAGACAGATAAGTTTTCAGGCTTACAAGCTCTTCTTCTGAGAAGCTATGGCAATCAGTCTAATAACAAAACTCTCCCCCCTCCTAAAAGGCCTACATTTTCAGTACAGCACCACTGCAACTACAACTGGCATTTTCTTCATGCGCATGACTTTCTGTTGCAAGTTTTAATCAAAGTATCTTTGGCTACTGTAGAGGAAGAGAAAACAAAACAAAAACTTGTATCTCATCCTGGTACAAAACCCCCCAGCATCCTGTAGTGCTTATTTAATTATGAATTACACTATTATGAAATTTGGCCCCATCCATGAGAAGGGCTGTGGTTTTGTAGCCAAGTTTTTAATTTGGCCTAGCCATACGTTTGAGAATCACGCTGCAAACTTTTAACAACCACAGGGGAGCTGGTGCCACAACCAACCTCCTGTCCTGAGACACCACCAAAGACACCCCTAAACCCCCTCCATAATTTCTTCTAAGCACAACAGGACAGAAACTGCATATCCCTATCCCATACCACAGTTGTTGTCTCTCCCACTCTCCGGCAGCTTTCACGTCTAGCTGCTCAGTACTAAAGCATCAGAAATGAAACGATGCTCTCACAGACCTGGCCAGACTGCGATGGGCACAACCCCAGGCAACCCCAGGAAGAAAGCGGTGAGCTCAGGCTTCAGAGCACCCTGAACCCAGATCTCACATTTCCTGCATGGATCGACAAACATCTACGTTCCTGTGCAAGCCAGTCTCCTCCTCTTGTTTCATCTCATGAATGTGAGAGATACACAGAATCAGGGTGGATGATGCTAGTTACTGATGTCACTAATGAAGGTAACGGGCTTACTTAGTCATGCTGAAGAGCTGCACACTGGCAAGACAAAGCCACTGATGGTTCTGAACTTTTCCATGAGACACTGAAAATGTTCAGCTGACAATTCAATGCTTCGTAACTCTGGTGGGTTGACCTTAGCTGGCTGCCAGACGCCCACCCAGCCGCTCTCACACTCTTCCTCCTCAACAGGACAGGGGAAGAAAATAAGATGGAAAAGCTCATGGGTCGAGATAAAGACAGAGAGACCACTTATGAGATACCATCACTGGCAAAACAGACCTGATTTGGGGAAAATTAATTTAATTTATCACCAATTAAAATAGAGTTGGATGGTGAGAAACAAAGACAAAAAACTAAAACACCTCCCCCCTCCCTTCTTTCCAGGCCCCACTTCATTCCTTCATTCCAACTCTTCCTTTACTTTGTTGTACAAACTTAACTTCTAACATGGCACACTTTCATTTTTGAGAAATTAAGTATCAGCTGGCGGAAGAGCAGTCTCAAATTCAACATTCAA